CTGATGATATTGTTCAAAACAATCTCATTAAATACAAATGTATCAGCACTTTCTGTAAATTTTATAGAGGAAATGTTTATTTGAAAACAAATTGTTATCAAATACCAATATTTTCTCTCTGCGGAATATGATTTTCACGAATCAAAGACAAGAGGGTAAGGGAATTATGATAAAGGAAGAATAACTTGGCAAACAAGATAAACGAGGTAATGACAAACAATAGTCCAACAATAGTTGCACAGAAAACAAAATATTGAGCAACAAGAACATCACCAAAATGACTTTTCGCCTGACATCGACATATGACTCAGCCACATAAACTAACGTGTTATGTTTGTTTTATATTTGCTTAGAAATAAAAGTCGTATAGAATGTTCACTCGGTCCTACCCAATGAATCGATTACCAAAAATACATCTGTATTCCTAAAAACCAATGTGAAATCGCTGGATCTACCAAAATTTCTTTAATGTTCCTAAAACCATGTAAATTCATCGGATTTACAACATATTTCAAATTTTCCTATACATTATGTAAATTCGGTTGATTTACCAAAATTACAACAGTGCTCATACAAATTATGTGACATTGCTTGGTCTAACAAAATTACATCAGTGTTTCTAGAAAACTTGTTAAATCGCTGGCTCTTCTAAAATTATATCCGGGGGTTTCCCAAATTATATAAAATCGTGGGATCTACCAACTGCTTCAAGAAAAGTGTATCCAAATTATTAACATCTACTTTCTATTGACAAAGAGAACTAGGCTTCAGAGTTGCTTTGAAACTTCCATTACTATGACTGGTGTTAATTTCATTCTTAAACATTTCAACATTTGTTACAGTTCATACAGCTAAATCATTTTCCTTGTGCAATGGTATGAACATAAGTCCGTGACACGTATATTCTACATTCATCAGAAGAAGACATATTTCGCTCAATTTTTTTATTCAAACATGGAGAGTGTTGGTGCAAGGATATTGTTTAAGAAAGGGACAAGTCTTACTTTGAAAAAAATAACTTGGACTCGAACATTTCTAGCAAAAAGTTCTCCAAAACAGCTGAACTTATTAACAAAACAGAAGAATATACCAAAAGGGAAATGAAAAACCATCAATCGAAAACGACACACAACACCATGTCTAAAAAATACATGATACAAATAACAATCATCAGTCATCAAACACTACACTAATATCAGAATACCTGATGTTTCTTTTATTAGCATCAATTAAAACACAACACTGATGTCAAGATGCTTGATCTTCTGTAACGGCATCAACCAGCAAAACGCATGTGCAATGCTGCTAACAAATTGCTTGGTTGTTTGCAACGACAACAGCCAGCTAATCACTACACTACAATCGAAATTGTTGCATTACAACGAAAAGAGCCAGCTAAACACTACTTTCATATGTATCTAGAAGCTTGATTTTCTTTTGTAACGACAACAGCCAGCCAACCACTATAACACTACACTACTATCGAGATGCATGCTGTTTTATAACAAGAGCCTACTAAATACTTCATTACTATCAAGATGCTTGCTGTTTTGGTACTACAGCCAACTTAATACTAAACTACTGTCAAGATGCTTGATTTTTTTGTAAAACAACAGTAAGCAAAACACTACACTACTATAAAGAAACTTGATATTGTGTAACGATAACAAACAGCAAAACATTACAATACTATCAAGATGCTTTATTGTGTGTGCCAGCAAAAGCTAGCAAAACAGTATACTTCTATCAAGATGCTTGATTTTTTTGTAACGACAGCAGCCAGCAAAACACAATACTACGATCAAGATGCTTGATCTTTTGCAACGACAAGAGCCAGCAACAAAACACTATATTATTGTCGAAATCCTAGATCTTTGAAACAGCAACAGCCAGGCAAATACTGCATTACTATCAAGATGCTTGATTTTTTTGTAACAACAAGTGAGCAAAACATTATATTACTATCAAGATGCTTGATTGTTAGTACCCACAGTAGCCATCAAAACACAACACTTTTATCAAGATGCTTGATTTTATGTAACGACAACAGCCAGCAAAACACTGCACTACTGTCAATATATTTGATATATCCTCACAACAACAGCAAACAAAACACTATATTACTATCGATATGCTTGATCTTCAGTAACGATAAAAAAAAGTTTATATTTCTATAGAGACACTTGATTCTTTTTGACAACTGCCGGCAACAAGCAATACTACTATCAAGATGCGTGATATTTTGTAACGATAACTTTCAGCATTACATTACATTACCATCGTGATGCTTGATCCTTGTGACTACAAAAACACTATTATCGAAATAACACAAAAAAAGGAAAACAGAAATTGCAAACTATATTAGACAGTACATCAGACACAAACTTTTCACATTTAAACAAAAATTAATGTACAAAAAAGACAAACAACAGAGAACAACACATGGTCACGATTTTTTTTATTAGTTGTTATTGGCTTTGAACTAGCTGTCAGTAACTGCGCATGCGAGCACTGTCAGATCTGTACTTAGTGTCTTTTTGTTGTTGTGATGTATAAGTGCCCTGCCACTTCCACTCTGTAGTTTTGTAACTTGTTTCTGCTTTTTATCTATCTGATGAGTTAAGCCCTTTGCAACTAATTTTTATAGTTTGTTCATATGTTGTGCTGTTACAACACTGTCCCAGGTTAGGGGGAGGGTTGGGCGTCCGCTAACATGTTTGACCCTGCCACATTCTGTATTTGCCTGTCCCAAGTCAGGAGCCTGTAATTCAGTGGTTGTCGTTTGTTGCTGTATATCATATTTGTTTTTCGTTCATTATTTTGTAAATAAATTAGGCCGTTAGTTTTCTCGTTTGAATAGTTTTACATTTGTCATTTCGGGGCCTTTTGTAGCTGACTATGCGGTATTGGCTTTGCTCATTGTCGAAGGCCGTACGGTGACCTATAATTGTTAATTTCTATGTCATTTGGTCTATCGTGCAGAAATGTCTCATTGGCAATCATTCCACATCTTCTTATTTGTATATTATAGCCTGACCTGGTACAGACACAACATATGATAGGGTCTATGCCAGGTTTACGCGCACCCTGACGTCGCCTATCAAGAACATACGTCTCTAGGGTCAATATCCCTAATGCGCTTCAAAGTGAGGAACACAAAAGTAGTGAGGTAACAAAAAATCTCTGTACGGTGATATTGGATATATTTCAATGTTTAACAAGTGACTGAGATTAACCATTTGTGCTGACTTGAAGAGCAGAGGACCATAGAATAAAATAATAAAAACTATGGAGTTATCAAATGAATGCAAAGAACTAAATTTTCGAAGAACTTATTGTATGATAAAAGGGATTTTTTACCTCGAGGAGACGCATCACGACAGGATATTCGGGGTGTGCTAATTTACGGGAAAATGAATCTCCCTTCTTACCCCGAAAATTTAACCACAAATGTGAAAATGTCTCACCTTCGAAAAGAGCCGTCATACATATCCAAGTTTGCGATATGGGCAAAGGAATTGAGGAAAAGACTACACACAAAAAGATTCAGCAAAGTCCAGCCACCACCGAGATGGCCAAACATATTTTTTCTATCACCGGAAGCTGGCTTAGATTGCCATAACTATTATTTTGATGTTGCCACTCAAGTAAAAACAAGAACAACACTTCTTACCAAAAGATTTCATGAATTATCCCCATAAGATGTAATTGAAATCTACAGTTTTGGTAGAAGGCCAAAAAGACCAATTTCAACTGAAAAAGTTAGTTTATCACACCTGTAGACAACGTTAGGGTTAGTATAAACGCTTTACATCGCCACATACTGTATGTGATTGTCCCACTCACATATCCTGTATTCTGGTGGTTGTAGCTGGTTGCTGTCTGTCATATTTTTTTTAATTGTTTAAGTATAAGTTAGGTCGTTGTTTTTCTTTTCTCTCTTTCGAATAGTTTCGCACGGCCATTTAGAGCTTATCATACGGTATATGATTTTCTCATTCATGTGACCACATATCTTTAAGTCTATACTGGTGACTGTTCAGCACAAAAGACCAAAGTTCAGTGCTTTATAGACAAACTGTTTTACTCTTACGAAAAAACTATATCAAACCGTCGGTATAGATCGTAATAGGCTTTATAATTTATTGAACTAGGATTTTTATTGCCAGCTGCATGTGTTCCTCGAGGTTGTTCTAGGACCGTAAGTTACACACTAGGATTAAATGCAAAAAAAAGCTTGAACCAGCATTATTAATTAATTACTTGGTCCAATTTAGCAGACGTCTCACACCTTATTTCTAGTTTCCAAGGGAGACCAACAACAATGAGTAGACATAAGAAGATGTGGTATGAGTGCCAATGAGACAACTCTCCATTCAAGTCACAATTTGTAAAAGTAAACCATTATAGGTCAAGTACGGCCTTCAACACGGAGCCTTGGTGTTCATAAACTAAAACGTGAAGCGGTTCGAGAAAGTCAACAACACTCTTCATTTGATAAAGGAATTAAGTAGTAGTGTTTTTTATCATTAATATGTAAATAAGCATTCAATCTGATGTTTATAAATAGGATTATCAAATGTGTTAGAAAGTCTGATAACTTCATTATTTGATCGATCAATTGGGAATATCATGGATCTTAAGAAATGTCATGTAGTGTTATGTTCATTGTTCTTATTTTTTTTTTTATTTTTGTCTGTTTTCGATTGCACATACTGTTGTCTATAATTCCTTGACTTACGGTTTTGGACTGTCAAATTTGTATATTATTCCACCCTTCCGTCAATTCCATTGAAAACTTTCCAATTGCTATCGGTTTTCGGGACTGAAAGCATACAGCGAATGCATGTCCAAAACGATCTTTTGACATTATTTATGACAAATAACCTAATTTGAATATACACATGTTAAATATGTTAATTTTCAAACAATTGTTTATTTCATTGTTACCCTCATAACGAAGACTGGGGATTTGCAAACATTTTGGCAATGATGGCTTGTATCATACATTTACAATACTATTAGTTATCTAGCTATCTAAATGACCCTAAATATTTTCAAAGAAAACGTTTTATTAGTTTCAAACTATGGTATAACTACTGTTGCCTTTCGCTTAATTTCTGTGGATAACATTTCAGCAGTTAGTTCTCTGTCAGTAACGCTTAATGGTTTATTTGGTTCAAACACAACATCTGTGCCATTTAGAGTGTAGGTAACTTTAGATTTGGCGAAAGCTCTGTTAACTGTATCAGAGTCTGGTGTTAATGTACTGTCGTCAACTTCAATCTATAAAAAACATAAGCATAAACTATATCATTGAAGCCATGTAATGGAACAATCTTCATAGGGGAAGGGTCTCAGTTTAATTCATTCACATCTGTTTTGGACTGCCTGATATTATGCATAGGTGCCTCCTAATCTTGAATACTAAATATTGACCTTTATATGTCTTTTATAATTTTCCATGGCTTGAACACTGTCTAATTTAGGTATACCAAAATCACATGTGTTTATATTAAGACTGTCATCCTCATCGGCCCTATATTTACCTCTATCCAGACAGTTTTCCTATCATGTGAAACCTTTCTACATCAAAGGGTAAAACAATATTAAAATGGATTTTGAATCACTCTTATATAATCTGTTTAACAACTTGTTGAATAAAAGGGTGCTGCGGCATCCGATAAAATTATTTTAGGCACACTGTAAATCATTAAACCAATAAAAATAAGATATGTAAGGATTTTGTAAAACTAAAAATAAGACATAACTTATATACTAAAATCTTACGAACTGCTTTTGAATACCACAGTACCACCTTGGTTGCAGTCATTTTTTTTTTTTTTAAAGTCAAAAATCATATATTAAAACGGCAAAACATACATAGACTATCCCTATAATAAGCAATAAGGGTGTTTGTTTTCTCTTTTGAAATGTTTGGCATAATGTCATACCGGGGCCTTCTATAGCCTACTATACGGAGATTTGGCTCATTGTTAAGGATCATGCAATGAACTATAGTTTGTTTGCCATGTTTACATCGTAATCCTTTGGTTTCTAATGGATAGATGTATAAATGACATTCAAACTCAGCATCCCCATTCTTATACTTATCCGTTAAATCATCATGAACAACAACACTACGTACAAACTGTGTTGGTTTTTACTTGTTTTTTGCTGTCCTTTTTTTACATCGAATTTTCAAAACCTATAAACGTCCAGGAAAAACACACAAAACAAAACGCATCAATAAACTAATCAAACAAAAAAGCGCCATTTTGTTAACTCAAATCAGTATGAAATAATTTTAAAATGGCATATTGGAGTGTCACTAGTACTATTGTGGGCGTTCTGATTAGTGTATGTAAGATGACGGACGTAATTTAAAATCTTGTATTGGTCCTATTAGTTTGTTCCTTTTAAACTTAATAATGAAATAGCACCTAATATGCATAAGAGTAAAAATAAGCCCTAATTCATTCTGAAATGTGTTGATGTGTTTGTTTTTTTGTGTGTAACTATATATGAAAAACATGACGGTAACATGTGCAAGCAGACACTTATCAAAGAAAAGTTAAGAGACAATGTTTGTCTTACCTTCGTTATGAGGGTAACATTGATAGCCTGTGTTATATCTTCCACCAGGTATGTTAGCCTCTGCAGTCTATTTTCAATATCATCAACGTCTAACTGACAGACTAAAAAAGAGTCTCTAATCGAAATGATAAAAGTACAGAAATACTCTATTACTAATATAAATAAAAGAGGAATGAAAGATACCAGAGGGACAGTCAAACTCATAGATCGAAAACAAACCGACAACGCCATGGCCAAAAATAAAAAGACAAAACTAAAGACTAAGCAACATGAACCCCACCAAAATCTGGGGGTGATCTCAATTGCTCCGGAAGGGTAAGCAGATCCTGCTTCACATGTGGCACCCGTCGTGTTGCTTATGTTATTACAAAATCGGTAAATAGTCTAATTCAGTAGGTCACATTCGTGAAAAGGGAAAGGTATTGTAGTTACGACATAAGGAACATATCCGATATCATCTGTGAAACGGTCATTCCATAACGGTCAACCAACTCGTGATGGCGTCCGTAAAATTTACGAAGGGATGATTTCAACTTCACCATTTGGAACTCTTGGTTTAATAGCTTCCTTGTGAGCAGCAATCCTCTATAAAGGAAATCATGATAGGAAATACAAGCCCGGGAATATCGTATCAATTGTGAGATATATACTCCGTATGCAGGCGCTGCTGGAATGTTGCTACATATAAATGGAAAGTTTACAATTGGGAAGCTGAAATCATCTCTTTTGTCGTAAAGTTTTGTAAATAAATGGTTTGGTTTTGAAAATTACTGTTTACCGAAGCCATATCGTAATGTGCCTCTCAAAACTCCAGAAACCTCGTTATGGATGTGATGTTTACATATTATTCTATTCTATAATTTTCCTACAATTGGTAGCAGATCTTCAGCAGTCTTTGTTTAAATCATTTACAACTTGTAGGCAATCTGGATGACTTAAAATGCAAAAGTGGTCACGTTCGTTTGACGATTTTTTTTTCTTAAAAGATAAATATTACACCTAATATTTCTTATCACTACAACAGACGGTATAGTGACGAATTGTTTATGACTGAAAAAATATCAGAGTAGAAATATTTTAGACATCATAAAAAGATTTCTTAATAAAATACTGCTTGCATATTCCTACTTGTTTCTGCAAGATCTGTTCCACTCGTCCCACTTGGGTTGATTTTACAGACTGGACATTTCAAAGCACATTGATCTGTGTCTCTCTTTTTTCCTGTAAAGCATAATTGTTTTTCCATCAATGTCTTTCTGATAAGGCATAAATGTTACAAAATTAATTTCGTCATTTTTATTTACAGAACAAATCCACGTGTTTTTTCAAAGTTATGCGTTAGGTTCATATACAGCACTTGGATGAATGCGAGTTCTCTCCCTGAAAATGTTACAGTAGAATGTTAAGTGTTAAAATAAAGCAAAGGAAAGCTTGTGTTCGGTTATAATTTGCCGGTAAAGGAGCAACAGCGTTGACTAGCGCCGCTTTAACTATTAAGCGCATCTTACAAATGTGCTGCGTCAACGCTTTCACATCCAAATAAAAAGATTTTTAAACTTTTACTCCTTTGGGAAACAAACATTTACGTAAAACATAATTACCAAAAAAGAGACCATAATTTTCGTTAGTTTAAACATATTTTATTGTTTTTCAACTTAGTAACGTCTTCTCCAACTTTTCGTTGCGGTGTTATAGACCTATCCCGATTATAACTGATACGGTGGTTCTCCTGATCTAGTGACGTATTGCGAGGTAGTGAGGTAGTTAGAACGATATATATATTTACAAGAGGCTTATTAACATTGTTAACCATTTTTTTCGGAAAAAAGCCTATACTAAGTCAAGAATATGACAGTTGTTTTCAATTTGTTCCGATCGTTGATAAAGTCGAGCGTTTGATTTGTCATGTTTTATGAACTTCAACCTTCTGAATTTACCTTAAGTTCGGTATTTGTGTTCATCCTTTTTTTTTCCCTTCCAAAACTGTTTTGTCATATTTGTCTGTAAGAAGAACTTATATTGATTTTATATACATTTGTACAATATATTATTTTGATTTTATTAATACTTACTTCCATTTGAGACTTTCTTTTTGTTGATTAATGGACAAATGAACGTCCAAGGTAGCCTACAAATAAATCTTTTTTAATAAAAATGAGGTGTATTTCACTTCAACTGTAAATGTTAATGTAAAATTCATTACAAAAAATGTGCGTGTACTGTTTCCACATCCTTACTTTCTAATTGCTCGGCTTTAGCCTGCTAATTTAGCGTTCAATTAAATATACTCCATGCATATTCAAGATGCTTTTTGATTCCAGAGTTATTGTAATCTTACTCCATACGACTGGGAGATTTATTAGAAGAATCTATGAAATCGATTATGCAAGTCAAGTCTACGCCGAAGATTTAATCAAACAGAAAATACGAAAAGAAAAACAACGGTATAAGATAAATGCAACAAAAACAATCACAGAACCACCAATGTCTTGACTTGGTTCGACCCAATTATCACATCGTCCTAAATATGCATTAAACCATTGCCACTGAAAGTTAAGCAATCACCATACAAACAATCAAATTCACTTTAGATATAAAACGTATTGGAATCCGCCGTCAATTGCTTCATGAAAACTGTCTTGGATTTTTTTTTCCATTGAATTTTTTTTCCCCACAATCATTACATCTTTCCCGACAATGGTGTCGTCTAGATTTGAATACTACTCACAGTTCATTCTAGAAACTCTTATAGAGTATACGTGCAATGAAAGAAATATAACATTGGTTTATTTGTACGAGCTTTAGAAAAATATAATACCTTTTCCATGCTTTTCACTTATTTTGTAGCCAGTTCATTTTTTCATGTATACTCGCACAAACAAAAATAGAGAAAATGACTGATTTTTAGCTAACCAGCCAACGACTGCAGGGATTCCATTGAAATTGTGTAACATTCGGTTGGAAGCTATTCAAATCGATATATTATGTATATTGTCTTTCGGAAACAAATATATTGATTTCCGTAAGAGATGCTTCGATACCAATTTATGAAATAAACACATTTCAAACTTGCAATATTTCATCAATATTGTCTTCAAGAGAAATTTGTATCGCTGATAAACATTGGGACTTCATGGAAATACATGTATAAAGTAAAATAACAAAAATACCGAACTCCAAGGAAAATTCAAAACGGAAAGTCCCTTTTCAAATGGCAAAATTAAAAGCTCAAACACATCAAACGAATGGCAAAAAAGTGTCATATTCCTGACTTGGCACCGGCATTTCCTCGTGTAGAAAATGGTGGCTTAAACCTGGTTTTATCGCTAGCTAAACCTCTCACTTGTATTACAGTCATATAGAATTCCATTTTATTGACAACAATGTGTGAGCAAAATAAACAGACATAATAGGTAAAAGTGTCAAAAATTGGGGAACAGCAGTCAGCATTGTGTTATATTCTTAATAACTATAAAAACAAATAACTATTGTTTCAACAAAGAAAAACAAAATGGCATATAGACACTCTATAGACAAAGTACATAGACAAAAATGAAAGACAAGAATAAAAAATGACCATAGTATATTAACACAATGGCGGGATGTATAAATACCTGGCCACGCCAAAAGTATATACCAAAAATTTACTAAACAGTAAAGGTTAAAAATACACAAAGACCACTATAACACGTAATTAAGATGACCAACAACGTCAGTACCTAGAATATATACTTAAAGACCATCATGTATTTTTTGTGAAGTTGTTACGGAATATTTATCAACAAGATTTTGGTCTCTTCCGATGAACTTTTTTGAAAAAGAACGAGACGTTCTTTGACAAAACCCTGGTTCCTCAACTTTCTGCTCAGACACTGGTGACGTTTTATAAAGTCTGAGTAGCAGCTGCAAGCTCTTAAATGCCGAATAAGTTGGGAAATGTATATTCCATATGCAGGTGAAGTTGGTATATTGCTGCTAAAGTCGGGGAAATTTATAATTTCATAACAAAATCGTCTCGTTTGTCATAGATTCTGGTACTGAGATGTAAATAATTTAAGGCAACAGTAGTTTATCGATGTAAAACTGTTGTTACGGATGTACTTAGGTGAAATTTAAAAAATCCAGAATTTAAAATTGATACTTCAAGTCGGAAGAGCATTAGTTAAGGTATAAAATAAGCTTTAAAAATATTGATAGGTTATGGAGCTCCTTTTCGAGATATTTAATTTTTTTTTAAATGGTGGGAAAAGGCTGACCCGGACTTTTACCTTATATTTGCATTGGTATAGTTTGGGTCTCAATTCGAAAGAAAAGAAATCTAGATTCTGCTTAAATTTTGGTAAATGACCTTTTATGAGCTATTGAAGTCTTATATGAAAAGAAAATGGGTGTTATGGGGCAAAATATTTTACCATGTATCGTAGGAAAACAACCACGGAGTCCGAACATCTGACACAAATTCCTAAACCTGACCTAAGTACATCCTTAAAATGTGTTATACTGACTCTTTAATATCACGGTTTTTAAGAAGTCAACAAGAACTTTATGGTTTTAACCGTTAGTGAAACAAATACAGTGGAGATTTGTCTAATTCCTTTGGAATTTCTAAAATACATTAATTTTGTAATTATATTTTTTTTTACTATATGGATGTTGTAACCGTTATATATACAATATAAGGTCAATGTCAGTTTAGTATTAAATTTTGTGTGCGAGAATTAGAAAACTGAGAAGGGAGAAAGGAGAAGTAATACCTAGCCTACAACAGTTTTGTGTTGAATAATTTTGACTTTGACTTTATTTTTTCACATTGTTGCTAAAAATATAACTACCAAAAAGTCATTAAAATGTTAACTCAAAACATTTGAAAATAAAAAATTCGATCTTTATATGAGCCCTAATAGTGACGAAAAGGGATATAACATGAAATTGACATTGTACAAAATATCACTTCATTACTATGACAACATGTAGACAAAATAAAATTCATGTGTACGAGCTTCAGAAACAAGAGAAAAAGCAAGGAAGTATATATTTTCTGATAATGTATATATGTTGTGTTAATCCTGATATTTAACTTTAATGCGTTAGCGTTTAGTTTTTAAATTCCCAACCGCATTTTGGTTTTATAGAAATATAAAACGCAGATCACCAGGAGGGCCGAACAATGAACTGTGGCATATAAGGTAGTATCATTATAATTATCGTTCGAGAAAGAGGAAGAATAACAGGAGAATTTATTTGTATACTGTATAAATAAAAGCAAAACATTATCTTTCTCTTGTGGTTGTGGTCTGTAATCTATTTGTCGCGTGACAGAAAAATGTCTCGTTTCTCACTGAACAGAGGGTCATATGAAATAGCGATACGAAAAATTCATTAATTTATATTTCCTATCCTGCAATGTGTTAGAAAATTGCAACATTTCCATTGGTTTTTTGTTATGTCAATATAACTTTCAAAGATCAAGTTTCCCCTTTTATAACGGAGATTTGTGATTTTTTCAATTGTATACAAAACTTTCACATGTTTCACCTGAAAATTGTCTTAGCGTCAATTTAATTCTAGGTTAAAGCGTACAAAAAGTATAAAACGTCTGATATCAGCAGTAGTCTAAGTTCTTAGCACAATATTTTCAATTACGGAAGCGGAATAGTACTAAAGTGACGATTACGTATTTCACCAGGAAAAAGGTAATGTTTAATATAAGTGAAACATGTTTAACAAATCGTGAGAATTTGATATTGCTTGATGCCAGTTTGATCTCGTTATTTTTTTTTTGTTGATAATAATGATAAACTCGTCATATGATCGATGTATTGAAATTCAAAAACTTGATTTGATATCAAGCGATAATTAATGGTGACTCGTTTTGAAACCAATAAGTGTACTTGTTATTTATACAATAGTTGACTGATTGCCGGATAAAACTTAATTTGATATTCATTGCATAAATCTTTAGTTTGTGTGTTTGAAACTGCATAATCTTTGATTATCAACACGGTTATATCTAAATAAGCTATAAAGATACTTCACTTTTTAACAGTTTTGCAGCATTCTGGAAATACGCAGCATTTGATTTTGCTGCGCTTCTTGAATATACATTTCAATCCTGTAGGAAAAACACAATATATGTTTTGATTGAAGAAAAAGTGAAAAAGAAATAGTGCGATTTCACAAATCATTAACTGAAAAAACAGATGAGAGGTTTAAAACAATAAGACAACAAATCAAAATATAGAACTAAAATATCATACGTTTACCACGTGCTTTCTTTTGTTTTTTGCCGTTGGGTTGTTGTCTCATTGACTTTTACAATGTTTTACCCCAAATTTCTTTATATCTAACCTGTTCTGTAATACTAGAATGATTTATATTTGTTGTCTGTTAATTCATAAAGGTGCCTCAGTGGCTTTAAAAACGGAAGTTTTATTATCAAAATTTGCCGTGACAAAACTTGTGAAATTATTTTGAATTAAGTAATAGATTTCCTTCATGTTCATACAAAAAAAATATATTTGTTCTCCAGCGTTCATATTTAATGGTGTTTTTTCCAGAACTCGTCTTATTCACAGGACATCAGTATCTTACGGATGCTTGTTGTCGTTTCGTTGTTTTGTTTTGTTTTGACGTCAGTGCATGAATAAAGCATTTGTCTTCATAAAAATACATATAATTGTATTACGATTTCCTTGTCAACTGAAGGTCTTATTGTCCTACTGAATGGGTAAATATTTTAGACGATTGAAATATATAAGCATAAATAACAATTAAGGATTTGAATATAAAGACTTACGCCTTTTAATCCATTCTTTTATCTTCAACTTTTCGATTATTGTATCCCAAATGCTGCCGGATATCCCGAAAAGTTTTCTAAGTTTTTTCCACCATTTCTTCAGTAATCTTTTCAGACGACGGCCAATTCCTTTTAGTCCTTTCTTGATTTTGTCTCTTAACTTTTTAAATATACTTTTTGCTTTCAAACGTCTGTCTATATCTATAAAAGCTGAACGTAATGCGTTTGCATTTAAAGCCAGTTCCTCCAGAGCGGTAAGATTGCTCTCCCTTATGATATTTCCGCTTTGTAATGCCACGTTAGCATTATTCTTTGCATATCGTGTGAATCTTACTCGTCCAAGGATATCTATTGATACTTCAACTCTGCTCAAGACAACAGTGAGAAATTCTATTGAATTAATCGCAGGCATCACAGCTCTAACCTTTAAGGCGGCAAAATCGTCATCCGGAATAACTGGGCTAAATATGAAATATGAAAGAAGTAACATTAAGACAGGCCTTATAAAGCGGTCACTGAGCATGTCTGAATTTAGTTTAGTTTTTACTCTCTAATGAATTAAATTGCTGCAGGTAAAGGTGATACTTTCGACTTAATCGTCAGTTTACAGCAGAATGCATTGAGTGTGTAGGTAAAGGTAGAATTTTTGGTTACCTTGCTTTTTAGCTGAACCGTGAAGTCATTATTAGGTTAGGTATACTACCCTCCTTTCGGAGTAGTATAGTCGTACAGACAGATAAATTGGTTATCGGTCGGACTAGTCTAATCTTAAAGGAGGGTAGTTTACCTAACCTAATAATGACTTCACGGTTTAGCTAAAAAGCAAGCTAACCAAAGATATTACCTTTACCTACACACTCAATGCATTCTGGTGTAATTACACAGCGAGGGTTACAATTGAATGGATACTTTGAATTAACTGTGTTTCGAGGATTACAAATACGTTGTTGACGTTATATGTGACCCGCCATGACATTTCCAGGCTTATGACGGTAAACGTTATAATGAGAAAAACGTCGATGTAAAGTCACTTAACGTATTAGGGGCACCTGTTATTGAATGTCCAATTATATCATGCGATAAAATAAAGTTTAATTTATTCATGACTTGGGGAAATTAGAATTTTATATTAAGATATACAAAACAAGAAGATTTTTACGTAAAATTAATAATGTAGGTTAAAATCCCGTTTAGAATCGCGTTCTAAATTCACTCAATTGATCTTTTAGATTTCATTGCGTAAATCACTTTTCGTTTAGAATCGCGTTCTAAATTCACACAATTTATCTTTTAGATTTCATTGCGTAAATCACTTTCTCATGAATCATTGCTATATTTGCGATTATACAAAATGGTCTAAATTATTTCACCATTGCGAGATACTATTTAGAAAAGTATTGGTCCGACAAATTATAACTTTCCTGAATTAGATTGCAGCAGGGACACCAAATTTTTGGAGTATATATCATTGTTTCACATTGTAAGGGAAATTATGAACATTCGTATTAACATATATATACCGGTATATGTAAATCAAGCAAGATATACCTGCCCATTAGGACCCCAATATTGTCTCATCCCATGTTTATTCCTTGTTTGATTTTTTTTTATCTATGACAGTCTTAGAACTACGTAAACAAGATGTATGTGTTGTTAAAAGTGTTCTTACATCCCTTTCATCTACATGCCCTAATATTATTGATCATGCTGTTTGATTTTTCATCTTACTCTGCATTAACAGATCTTTGATTTCATCACTTTGTCAGGATACATGTATTCACAATAAGATAATAGATGAACATTAGAAAGCATATTAAATGATACACAGCTATTTGATGGTTTATCATATATCTTGGTATTCCCTTTCTTAGAATTGGTGTAGTTTTCCTTACGAAAGAAAGAAAAATGGTAAAGTCATTATTATGTTGATTGCAGATTCCGGTACAGCAACCGAATAAAAAAAAACTTCAAATATTTAGTTATCATAGCTACAATTATATTTTGATTAATAACAAAAGGCTTGATCCCCCCTTTTAAAAAAAAACAATATGACATAGCAACTATAAAAGATGAACATACATGTAAAAATTTGAAGAAAAAAATGAAAATTTTCAATAAAATCGAAAATAACAAAAATTACCATAATTCTGTTATTTTGAAGAATCGCAAAATAACTTGTCAAGGTGTTTTGAATCTATGCATACTTCATAAAAATGCAAAAAACTTATTTTGACCCTGGTACCTCCATAAGCCTGAAAATCTCATGGCTGGTCACATATACTTGCGTGATGTTTTGTTGTTCTCAAATTTCTATTAGAGTGCACGTTCTAAACCAACACTTACTACTTTGTATACAATGATAGATTACATGTTACTTACTAGTATAACATATAAATACTTGATAATCAAATATCGTCGGCACTGAGTAAAGTTATCTGTGAAAAGAGTTACTTACGTCTCAGTTCGTATAATACATAACAACTACTTGTGACATGCTAACATTATAGAAATAAAGCACATAATACACATCGTGTATACAATGCAGATTGAGCTAAGGGAATGCGTAGTAATAAAAGCATCAATTTATACTATCAGCGCTTATCTACCAATGGGTATCCGAAGCGATCCTATAACAATATAATGCAGCGAAGCAATTATTCGGGTTAAATGCTTAACAAATTAGAAAATTAGATGTACATACCGTTGACATTTGCTATCACTGCATTCTTTACATTGGTTGATATTTTGTAAGCAGACAGATGATTGGTTTTGGTATTTCCCTAAATCTTTTGGTATATATTCTAATATATCAACTCTTACTTCCTTGTCAATACCTGCAGGAACAAAAAATTATACTATTCAATAAATTTGCTCTTTGAGATAAAATAATAATAATTTCGTATGTACAAAGAACATTTGTTGGTGCCCTGAAACTTAGTTAGTGTGATTAAGTTCGAATTTGAATAAATATAAATTCATTGAAGCCTCGGAATAAAACGTCGAATAGAATGACTTAAGCATTTGGCTGTAGCGAGTCAAATTTTGATTGTTTATGAACTACAAAAAAAAATCATGAAAAAAATAATCAAAGTGATCTGTTGTTTTATTTGCATGATACGGGAAAAGCTCATTTCAAGTCAAATACGATGAGGGATGACAAAACTATTAGAGATTAATTAACAATACCAGATTTGAGGCATCATATCAATAGTTCAATGAAGCATTTCTTAGTTTTGTTGTCAAATGGGGCATAAATAACCGTTAACGAGCAAAATTAAAATTAAACGGAATTACTTGCCATGTTTTGTATCCTTGTCAACTTCTACAAATGCACTCTTAACCAATGCTGGCAATGACAGTGTAATGCATAAGTAAAACAGGTTTGTGTATAACTCTCCCATATCGGATCACAACCACATGGTTTCCCCAACCCGTCCTAATGGTGTGATTGCGAACAAAAAACTTCTGACTGTTCTTTTTATAGTTTATTTCGTAATCCATACATTCGTTGACACCTACAATATATTATATTTGATACTTCAATTATTCTTTATGAGTAGTCAAAAGGCGTTGACTTTATATTATGTTAAATACGAATATACAGTAAATGGCCGTATAAAACCTCAAAGCCACGCCTACCGCTGAGATTACTTTTGAAAGATCACACTTTTGCAAGTTGGGCATCGACATAAACTCGTTTCCCCTACAAAATTTGAACCAACATTATTGTTCTTGTTTTATAAAAATTTATAAATTATTTACTTTTACCGCTTATTCATGTTATTTGTTGGTGGTGTATTTTGCAATTAAGTGCACTTATTCGCCTGACTAAGTTGAACCTACATTTTGTATATCTTGAGAGTTATCAATTTCACTCCGCATAAACAGAGACATATATACACATATATGTTTCTGACATATGTAATAGGCCTTTTAAAGGTGGGAATCTTTAAATGCAGTTTAGAAATTGAAAAAAAAACCAAATGATTACATTAAATTGGTACGATTTAATTGCCTTAAAAAGACACCAATTGTGCAATTGTGCATTGGCTTGACATTAAAAATATATGTTATGAATGATCGGTATGTTTGAGTTGAAATATAATGAAAAAGCAGCCAAACAGTTCGCAGGAATTTGGTAATTTAGAAATATTATTACATATCACGATTCGTCATTGACTAACGCGAATATAGTCTGATAGTTACAGTTACTATTTGGAATTGTAAAGCATTTGGTTTTACTGCAGTGAACAGTATTGCTATCAAAGTGTTACTTTGGGGAAAATACAAGCCGCTCCATTTGTTTTTTTATAAAGCCATGTCAAAATTTTAATGTCAATGAAGCGAAGTAAACTTGGAAGGGGCATTGTTTTGCAATAGATCTGCCATTAACCACTAAAGCATTGCAAGGGTTATTTCGGTGGTACTCTCCAAATTAACGCGGGCATTGGATTTAACCTCCTCAATCCATCTTGACGTGGCTAGTTTTCTATGTATATGTCGCAGTCAAACAGGCGCCCCTTCCTCAATATGGGTTAAAGTGCCGGACGAAACAATTCAAAGTTATCTTATTTTGTATTTCACTGACTTTTTGTGTTGGAATTTTCAAGTCCATTAAGTACTACCACTGAAAATACTACATAAACATCTGGTCATTGCCATTGCAAGAATGGAATAAATATGAAAATAAAAGATAACCATGAGTTATTGTGAAATATACTCATCCAAGATACCAGACTTGTAATTTTGTTCGCTAGACACGCGTTTAGTCTAGATAGACTCATCAGTGACGCTCGAATCAAAAAGGTTAAAATTACAAAGTTGAAGAGCAATGAGGGCCAAAAAAATTGCAAAACGTGAATAATAGGTGTTATATTACAACATGAAATCAGGTATAAAAATTAAATCATCATTTGCATTGATGGGGATTTTCGTCCATGGACAATATATTCCAATATTGTATTTATATTATCATACGTTCAATATAAATCGGTTTACTGGTAATTCTGATGGAACAAATCTACTGCATGTAAATTTATGTAATAAGCTTATATATGTATCATGTGTATGCAATACATATGTACTTTTCCCCATATAACTGGCATTTACAAAAGGAATTATACAAAAAAGTAGGAAGTATATATTATAACATGAAAAAGTTCAAATTAAGGTGAACATTTCTTATTGAAATAATATTTGACACGATGTGAACAGATTTTTTAAAAACCATCGAGGTTAAAATCACGCATTAAGAAAACAATATTGTTCCACAAGTCAATATAAAGATCCGTTTGTATTTATAGTTTTGCATAATAAAATCAGTGTTGATGGTAATTTGCTTGTTTATTTTGTATTAAGTCAAAATTTGTTTAATTTATTGCATTATTTCGCAATCATGTAAGTAAAAATTCTCATACTTTTCTAGTTATTTTTATATGGCTTACCATCTATCAACACTTGGAATTTATAATATGCTATTTACCCCAATTATGTGTATGTATTTAAGCCGGTTTAGGACATAATAAGGAGATATGTGTATCATTGTAAGTAAAACAACTATCCACTAGAGTCCAAATGACGTAGATTTAAGCAAATAAATAGGTCACAGTACGACCTTCGCCAATGAGAAAACCCCATACCGGTAGTAATAAAAGAACCAGACATGACAGAATGTTTAACGATCCATACGAAAAAACCACCAGCCTGATTTTTTGACAAAACAGCTTAATAAATACAAATATGACAAGACAGCAATCAACTACAACCGCTAAATTTGCGACTCCTGGCTTGGGATTGGCAAATGTATAGTGTGGTGGAGTTAAACATGTTACTGAGCGCTTAATCCTTCCCTTAAAAAAGAAACAACACTTCAACGAAGCGCTTTTCTGGATTTATCTTCATCATGATTGTTCAATGCAGATCATTTGAAAGCCAAGGATGTATAAGAACAGTTGAATAGCTGTATGTCCAAAAAAGACCTGAAAATTAGAGACAATTCCATTTAGAGTCAACGTTGCCTGTGGGAGTTGAAACCTTAGTTTCTTAATCATTTCTGAATTTACAAACGGTCAATTTTTACAAATTTTCTGATAAATCATGTTTGGACCGAAGTCCTGACTACTGATTGATGACACCCTCGTGGACTGATTGTTCACCTGCAGCGGTATCGATCCAGTGCTGTAAAAATTAAAAAAACACTTGATAAAATTTCATGCGTCCGAAGCACTAATCCAAGGAGGTGTAACCGCAAAACATAAGAACAAACTTAAAAAAACAGTTGGAAAGGGATTGACTCATCAGATCGTCTCGAAACACATAAAACAACCACATGCAGAGGATAAATAACGTGACTATAACGTAATGATGTAGTTTATCAGGTAGAATATGTATATATGTTTTACCTTGCTTTCAATATAGTTATGATATACATCTATGATATTACAAATCGAAATTTAGTCACATAATAGTCATTTTAGCGGTATTTTTAACATTGCCATATTAGCGGAAGGTTTGGCTAGCCATAAAACCACGTTCAACCCAAGATTTTTTTCTTAAAACATCCTGTACCAAGTCCGGAATATGGCAGTTGTTATCAGACAGTCCGTTTCTATGTAGGTTGGCGTTTGCTTTTGTTGTAGTCAGTGTTTCTGTTGTTCCGTTGTTTTCCTTTTATAGTTGATGTGTTTCCCTCGGTTTTAGTTTGTTACCCGGATTTGTTTTTGCTTAATCGAATTATGACTATTGAACGGCGGTATAATACTGTTGCCTTTATTCCTCCATTTTTTTTGTGAAACCTTACATGATCTTATTTCAGTTTCCAAACTGGGATTTTTTTTTTTTTTTTTTTTATTTTTTTTTTTTTTTTTAAATGTAAGCTAAATTTCAGTAAGGGAAAAATAAGTGAGTCAACCATATCAACTTTGGTCATTTTCAAGCTTAAGGTTACAGTTATCAAACCACCTGCAAGTGGACCTGTGATGAATGTTTGTGTCCTTTATGTTTTATCTATTATTATTTTTTTGTATAAACATATATAAATGTTCTATGATATCGATATTTATTGACTTTTAAGCTTTACCGATACAACTGTAACTCTTGCACGTCAAACCTTCCGATTGCATAGCCCAGATAAAGAAACAGAGAAATCACAAAACAAATAAAAATTTAAGTGCAGATGTCATATCAAAAAGCGCAAATAGACACTTTTAACTCGAACCTGCATCTAAACAGAAGTACTGAAATATCAAATATATACTAAAGTCATATATATGATACCTTAAATTTAACAAAAAAGTTGAATATGTTTTATATTTTTTAACGGCTAAGTTCTACTATAAAACACGTGTACAAAGACCACCTTTATTTTACCCAAATATTCAAAGATGTATTGCTTTTGAATTGTCTTTCCGTTTTTTAATTCGCCGACAGCTTTTCTGTATGCTGTAACCTTAGCCATGACATTTGGCGTTAAAATTCGCCAACCACAAAGCGCAAGCACAAATGGAAATCAGTAATCAATGAAAAGGTAAACAAACGTGTTAGGAAGATATTATCAATCGATTTTAAAAGAAACATTGTAACACCACATCATTTAGCTATTGTTATCAGAAATAATTGAAATATTTTAATACTGTTTCTTATGGGTTCAAAGGCAAGCATTGTCCCTCTACGCTGTTTCAATATGTGTAACATCAAAGCTCTCATTTTCATACAACAAGGACAGAAAAAATAAACAAAAGTGATTCTGGAGTCCGCTTTTTATACACAAATGCGCACGTCAATTTTTTGGTGAAAACCCTTAGCAAGTTATCAAAATATGAGGGAAGCTTATAAGGAAATACTAAATCATCACAGAAGTAGTGAATGGATTTAGTTTTATAGCAGGCACACAGCGCCAGAATAAAGGCTCCCTAAGTAAAAGATTACCACAGAGTCGACTGCAAGAGATGACATAAGCAGAATCACACTAGAAATCAAGTATCCGACAGCAATGAATGGAACGAAAAAATCAAAGACACAAAGACGAGAAAAAAAAACAAAGACACAAAGACAAGAAAAAAAACAAAGACACAGACACAGAGACGAGAAAAAAAACAAAGACACAGAGACGAGTTATGACCGAAAGCATCGCCAAGTAATTCGTGAAAGGTTTTTGCTTGTAAATAATAAAGAGAATGAAGTCACACTAAGAGTCAAAGGAAACAATGCTAACAGTATAGATTCTTTAATCGACATATTATGCTGTAAACTGCAAAGGTCCATACATTCAATATCTAAAAACCAATTTAACCACTATGTACAGGAACATGATGGAAAAACTTACAGCAAAATGAAGTTTTGATACACGTTTGTTTTGATGATATAGCTTCCTTTGCAAGCTTTCAACATAAATCAAAAGTATGCGTTTTCGTGCATCCAAGCAAATGA